GAAAGAAAAATACCATAGGAGATCGCTCATATGTGGAATCTAAAAAAAAAAAAAAAAGAAAAGAAAGAAAACAAAGCATAAATACAAAACAAGAAATAGACTCATAGACGTAGAATACAAACTTGTGGTTGCCAAGGGGGCAGGGGTTGGGAAGAGATAGACTGGGAGTTCAAAATTGTAGAACAGATAAACAAGATTATACTGTATAGCACAGAGAAATATATACAAGATCTTATGGTAGCTCACAGAAAAAAAAATGTGACAATGAATATATATATGTTCATGTATAACTGAAAAATTGTGCTCTACACTGGAATTTGACACAACATTGTAAAATGATTATAAATCAATAAAAAAGTTTAAAAAAAGAATATTTCAACATGTCTAAGGCTAAAAGGAGAGGGTTTGAGAGCCAGATATCCATTTTACAAAAGGAAGACTTTTCCCTCATATGAAATAGAAATAAATCATAAATATTCTTCATCTTTACCATGATTTAACTGGCGTCTGGTACAAGATTATTTCTCATTGGACTGTTAGCCCAGTTGAAAAAACAAAACCATGAAATTGTAGGATTCAGAAACTGTTGATAAAGTCAAATTATTATTGGCTATTGCAGATTCTGAAAGTTGGCTTTATTAAGCCTTTGCTAAACTCTCAAATGACAGCTTTAAGAGACGTATGACTCTTCTGTAAACCTGAGATTCAACATGGGTTTGGTGAGCAGACACCAGGTGTATCCGATTATGGATTTAAGCCTAGAAAGGACAGAGGGTATTGGCCGCTGAACTCCATCCACAGAGGCCTTTTCTGTCCCTGGACCAGAGTGTAGAGCCTGGTCACAACAATGTTTTCTTTACTAAAAAAAGGGATCATTTATTTATTCAAAACCAGTGCCTATTGGAAACAAACTCTTAAAAAGAAAAAAAAGAAGCAGGAATACTGTTACAAGGATGCTTCCTCAGGTGAATATACAAAATAGTGGGACTGTGGCTGCTGGGCCAGCTGCGTTTCCATCATTCAGGACATAAAGTGCAGCTTGGGTATTGATGAGAGACTGTTTGTTGCTGAGATTAAGCTGAGGAGGAAAAGAAATGCCTCATCTCACAGAATGAAAAAGCCATATAATATTTACGTCTGAAAAAATTGAGCATTTGGTTATGTGAGAAGTTTGAGAATTTTAATGATGTCCTCAAATTCAGCCCTTTATAACACCAATTTATTTAGGGATCTGAAAGCTAATAATATAGACGTGTCCAGGCACAGCTTTATCGTATTTACATAAAGAAGCACTAAAAGTTCAAGATGCTTTTTGTAACAGAATTAGAAGTTTAGTAGTTGAACATAACAAAAGAAAAATGCATTAACAGCCTACTAAATCTCACATTTCTTTTCATCAAATTGCCAAAAGAAGCATAAGTGATCAGCGATCATTTTTAGAACTCTGTGAGTACAAGACTGCTAATGGGTCAAAAATAAGAAATTTTGGTTTTTACAATCTCAGGAAACTTCTGAAGCAGACCTATCTAGTCACCATAAAAGGCCATATCCTTATAATTCAGTCAACAATGGGAATTCTCTCGAATGGGAAAGGTAGGCTATGAACTGGGGTTGACTTCAGGGCTATTAAAAAGAATCTACCAGTTTAAATTAACAAGGTAAAAATAATAAACATTTGGTTACTGATATGTAGAACAACAAGATGCTAAATCACAGTGAACGGAAAAATGCTGAATGTGAATTAATTTATCCAATGTGTCTTAGGCTAAATGGGCATGATAATAACTTCTCCTTCAAAAGGCTTATGATAAAGTACACCAGTTCATTGAAAACAAGCACACAAGGCCAAAGAATCAAACATTCATCCACAATATTGGGGGCTGATTATAAGGGACTGATAACCAATAGCAAAGTATCTTTCATGACAGAAGATAACCGTTCTATTGCGAATGAAGCAGCTTTTTACATCTCTTAAATGTTAAAAATAATGGAATGAATTTTGGACAGAGAAACTCACGCCAAGTGGCAATACATATGGAAAAAAAAAAAAAAGGCAGATTCTGGGATAGCATTCCTGAGACAGATGGCTCTGGGTCTGATCTTATCAAGGAAATCTTATAGTCTTTTAATTTTTTCCACCTGGAATTTAGCTCAATAAAAATTTCTAAAAACAAACAAAACTCAAAATGAATCCACGTCACTTGAGAATAGCCATCAGCCGGCAAGAAATGAGCTGCTTTCAGTCCCGGGTTCAGTGAGGCACTTTTTAACAAACCAGTAACCGCAGTAAAAAAAAAACACAGTTTTTCAAGGGGTAAGACCAAACAAAAATGTGGTCACACCCATCTCACCAAGAACCGAATCAGAACTGAGACAAACAGCAGCACAAACAGCCCAAATGGGAAAGGCCATGCCCAGAGCTGTGCAGAAGCAAAGCTTTCTCACAGCCCTTTCGGTTCTAAAAAAATGTTTTTTTACTGAGTCTGCTTTGACGTCTTAAAGACTTTAGGTTTATTCTATGTTCCAGCAGACTTTGGAAGGCGGTGAAGCTCCCTTTACAAAGCCCTGTAGAGAGAGTGGGGACACGTGCGGTGTGCCTCGCGGCTGTCATTTTCAGGTACTCACAGTGCGGCGTTTACAGAGCATGGCTAGAACCCAGAATGTCCCACTTCCTCTCCGGTAGTTTGATAAGCTGTGTGGTTCAATGATCAGATATACTAGTGGCCAGTGGCAGTGCAGTGGAGGTCAGCAGTGTTGTGATTTGACAGTGTGCGCCAATGATTCGATTTGCAGGGTGATCAAAGTTGTGTGGTTTGAGAGGAGAGCAGGCTGCATAAACCTATGGACACTCATACGCAAGGTTCCAACGGGAAGGTCCATCAGAAGGCCTACTGGATCCACAGTAAGTGGAAGTGTTCTCAGTGAATCACTGTTTAAAATCAATGCTTGAGAATCAATAAGGCACTAGGTTAATGCTAGCGGCATAGAAACCTAAAATATAGTCTCAAACTGTGTTTGCTTTTCTTCTTCCTCCCCTTGGGAAATGATTCCTGGAATGTTTATGGGAAAAGAAATAGAGATCAGTAGTCACCCTCTTTCTCATTAATTTCTGGCATGGACACCCATCACATAGCTTAAATCTAGAATTAAAGTGTTTCTGTTTTGCCTTCTTTTCCTCTTGGGAAATAATTCCTGGGTTGCTTGTTGGTGGGGGAAAATGGAAGTTGGTAGTCTGTTTAGCGCGTACACAAAGTCTCAGAGAGAGGGAGACTACTTCTAGGCATTCAAATAAAAGTTCTGCAGAATTCAGTTTTCTCTTAGGAGACATGAACGCATTTACAACACTCTGCACAAGGGCTGTTTCCCTGGCTGCCGCTGAAGGCCAGCTTTGCCTCCCGGACTCAGTGGCCTGGCTGCTGCTGCCTGGACCACCCTGAGGAGGTGGCCTGCCAGGCCAGGTAGGGCTCTGCTGCCGGTGGTGCATGGCAGAAAGTCCCGGGACACAGTTCTTGGAGCTACCTTTTTGATGGAGCTCAGAGGGAAACGGTGATCGTGGTCATTTTGTAAAGGACGAAATTCTCTTCTGTTATATGCAAACGATAGCAACTGTGAAGGGGCCCCATTATACCAAGACTGCACCTGTCCCATGGCTGTGGCAAACACTCCAGGAGACAACTCGAGAACGAACAAGGACGCAATCAGCACTCTTCCCTTTATCAAATTCAGCCCAGATTCCTTTTCCTTGCCTGTAAGTAAAGTGAGTATGGTTGTCTGTCGCCACGCCTACCCTTTGCTTACTTTCTTTGGCTTTCTCTTTTTAATCATCACCCAAACTACCTTTCCTTTATTGAGATGACTGACAGGATAACCCCCTGCTCAAACAAGGATTGAGCATAGGGTAAATATAGAGTCTTATGGGCTGGCCATTACTGATGCAGAATTTCATGAAGAATCCCCCAGGTGTTCATAAAAACATGTTACTCTTAAAAAGCCAGCTTCCTTCCAGTCATTTGCACTACCTGGTTAGTAAATACCAGTAAAGCAATACTTGGAAATAACAAGAAAGGAAGTTATGTGATCGCTAGACCACCAACAATAGCCAGTCTACACCAAGTGAACCCACTGGACAAGATTTGTGGGTTCCTCCATCACTCTCTCTGGCATAGTAGAAATCGAGTCTCTAGAAATTAAAAAAAAAAGAGATTGCTTCTTCTTGCTCTAAAAACACATGCATATGCCAGTCCTAAGGAAGAATCCCACGCACGAGGTCTAGTTTTGTGTGGCTGTTACTGATGCCAAAGTGACCCAACAAAATGTTCCATCAAAATGCTGACAATCCAGATCTCCAGCAGGGCTTCTGTGTCGCCGTGTTCACTGACATTTGCAACCGGAAGCTGTGGGTTTGTTTTCTCTCATGGATTCTCTGGGAGAACCTGGCATTGATGACAGCAGGATACCATAAAAACGATTTTGAGAAAAAGATTATACATCGTAATGCTTAGCATTTATATAGTTCCTTTTGATTTCAAAACAAGTTATAAATATTTCCTACCATGACAACATCTTTGCGAGGTAGGTGATTATTAATGTCCCTACATTAGCAACAGAAACCCGAGGCCAAGAAGTGCAGGACTCTGTTCCAGGCCAGCGAGAGAGACAGGAGCACCACTAAGACTAGGCGTCCTGAAGGGCACCTGCTCTGGGCTCTGAAGAGGCCATGCCTCTCTTGAACGTAGTCTCCATTAATATAGGGTTATACGTTATATAGATACAAAGCAACAACACACAAGGACATCATAGAACAATAATCCAATATTTTGGTTTCTTAGTAAAATATGTTAAGCACAGTATTTAAATTGCATTTCTCTGAAAAGCATTTGGTATATTAAATAGCAGAAGGTATATTAAATACTCTATAAACGTTTGCTGGCATACTCTTAATAGCATAAGGATTCTAAAGAAAGTAAAATCCACTTATAAACACCATAAGCTAAACAAAAATGTGAAAAACTACTTTATTCTCATAAATGCAGACTTCACAGCTTGCTGGGTATTAGCAGGTGGCTACATAATTTTTCTGAGCTTGAGAGAAAGGATACATATTGCTGGCTATGGTTTTAAAATATCAATTTGGTAGGGAAAAATGCAGTTGAGGGGTGAAAGTTAAAGACTGCTTTTTACATTTTGCATCCATTCTGAGCCATTCATACAAATTCAAAGCATATAATCATACTTGGAACTAATGTTTAGGTGAATATAGGGAAGCTATATAATATTTTTGTGAGAAGAGAAAATGATAGAAAATAAAAGTTATGGTATTCAAAAGAAATGCACAAGGGGACGAAAAGGTTATTTTTCAGGTGTGTTGAAGACGGACAAGAGATATCAGCTGTTCGTGCTCACATGCCTGTGTAGGTCTTGGAAACGGTTTCCAAGGACCAGTACTTGGTTTGATCAGTCGCTTCTCCAGGGCAAAACCCTCACTTCTCGTCTCTGCGTCTCCAGTTCTCAGAATGGTGTTAAAGAACTTACCTCATGCTAAGCTTCCTAAGAACTGACCAGGAGAGTCAGCAGAAAAAAGTTCTAAAACTAGAAAGGAAGAGGCATCAAAGTCTTAAAATTTGTATGCAAACGTAAAAACTAACTTCCAAGCCCAAATGACATTCTCTGTCAGAAGTAACAAATACAAAAGTCTTAAATTTCATGTACACACCGCTAAGATACTGGATTAGTACAGCTCGTTCAGAGAATATTTTTTATGTGTGCTTTTTCCCTAAAAAAGACATATTAAATTGTTTTTCTCTCCTCAAGTCCTTTTTATATAAATGGGAAATACAGGGTGTCCTGTCAGTTTGTTTGTTCGGGCTATACACGCGAGGGGTCCTTCCCACTTGCATTGTAGGTGGCAGTTTTGTTTGAGGGGGGTCTGAGCTTGAAGAGACTTGAGCAGTTTGGCTGCTTGGTGGGCTGCAAGGTTCTGGCGTAGGGGGAATACCAGTCCCTCTCAAACACGTCCTTCAGTTGCTTAATGATGCTCGTGCTGTTCCTCACGTCTGCTTGGTTGATAACAAGGCCCGTGCCGGCATTCTGCGTAAAATCATTCCCTACCCAGTCAAAGTTTCCTGCAAAAGACAAAGGCAATGATGGTAAAGAGTTAAGACCCACTGGGGAATATTCTCCATTTAATGAAATATAGAGCAGATTCTATTAAAAAAAAATACCGGGGAACAGTGACAGGGAGACTGAATTGTGTTGACAGCTCATTTGAAAAAAAAAATTCCAAGAAGGCTTACATATGGCATATTAATATTTGCATATTATTTTGGCATTTTCTTCAGCTTTGCTCAACTTGAAACTCCAAATAGGGACTCCGATGTTCTTTTTGGTAAATGTTATTTCTTATTGACATTCACAAGGCGAACTAAATACAGCAACATTTAAAATACATAGGAACACACTTAAAAATCCCGTGAACAATGACTAGCTTCTCAAAGAGACAACATCAAATCCATATGTACAGATGAGGGATTCTAATTATAACGCTCAGGAGCTTTCACATTAAAGAAAACGCTGAACCAAAGAAAGAGAACCAATTTCTAACTAAATACACAAAACGCTGCTTGCTTGGGCTGCAAATCACTTCCCAGTTCCAGGATCAGGCTCCTCAGCCCAGCCTGTGACAGCAGGCTCCGTGGGGTGACGGCTGGTGTTAGGTGGTGTGTTAGCTGGCTAGGGCTGCCAGGACAAAGAACACCGCACAATCAACAGAAATTGACTGTCTCACAGTTCTGGCGGCTGAAGGTCCAAGATCATGATGTTGGCAGGTTGATTTCTTCTGAGGGCTGGAGAGCGGGATCTGCTCCAGGTCTCTCCCCTTTGCTTGTGGATAACCGTCTCCTCCCTGTGTCTCTTCACATCTGTCATCTCCCTCTACGCACATCTCTGTGTCCAAATTTCCCCTTTTCATAAGGACTCTGGTCAAACTGGATGAGAGCCCACCCTAACGACCTCGACTTAACTCGATTACCTCTGTAAAGACCCTGCCTCCAAATTGAAGTAAGACGTCAACATATGAACTTGAGGCAGGAGGAACAAAACTGATCTGCCCCAGAAGGGGTTAGTCGTGTCTATGCAACACACCTGTAGGCTGTCTTCAAAGTGGGAACAGATAAAAGGGGCAGACCACCCAAACCCCCATGTGAACCTTTGCCTTTGGTATCCAGTGGGGAGACGATTCCCGCAGCACAGCAAAGGAGCTCTCAGAAGGGTACAGCATTTATTTTCTTTGCTTTTCTTAGTCCTTCATTTACACATATTTATTGAGTGTCTAATATCTACCAGGTACAATATTAAGGTCATGATATAAAACTGAAAATGACAGTCCCCACCTTCCAGGAGTCCAGGAGAAAGACACAGTAAGCATAACACAAGGCATATGAGATAGGACAGGAGATGTAGGTATACTCTGTCACGAGGGCAGGAGAAATGAGGTTTTTTTTTTTACTTAATTTTTCTAATGGAGGTACTGGGGATTGAACCTAGGACATCATGCATGCTAAGCTGGAACTCTACCACTGAGCTATACCCTGCCCCTAGGAATTTCCAACTCTGGCTACATGCACCAGGAAGAAAGCACTTTGTTGAATAACGAGAAAGGCACAGAAGCTTATCAATTAGGAAATTCATTCCACAGGGAAGATAACATATTTGTGGATAAAAGGTATGATTAGGATCTCAGAGCATGAAGAGAAAGAGTTAGGGATGAGGTCGGGGCTTCCAGGACTTAGAGTGGAGAGGAGCCATCATTTAGTTCAGTGCCTCCCATGAACAAAGCACACTGTGCTTTCTACTTCTATGCATTATCTCATGTACTTGGTAGGATTTATGCCCACTTCACAGACAAAGATTTTGAGGCTCAAAGAAGGGAATAAATTTGCCCAACTTCACACAGTTGATCAATGGTCGACCCAGGTCTGCCAGACTCCATGCATTATCTTCAATACCATGAACAAAGCATGATTCTCACTAATAAAAACTGAGCCATGTCAAGACTGACCAAATTAATTTATAAATTACCACCATCCTTTTTGGTTCAGAACTGGTAAAGGGAACTCAAGGCTTGTAAGCGTAGAGCTTGACTTTCCATTCCTGCTGTGGCTCCTCAGGCATCCTGCAGGAATATTTGCTGAAGGATGCTGAAACCATGGTCCGTGGGCATCCTTGACCCACAGCCAGGCAGCCATCTGTGGGAGAAGCTGCTGGGACAAGGGACATCTGTAGAGAGAGCCAATATCTGTTCCTTTAAAGCTCTCATCCTTTGGTCCCTCCTTTGCTCTCTGGAGCCCCCACACATTATCAACTCCCTTTTCCATATGACACCCGCTGGAATACCGGAAGGTGGTTCCCTTGTTCCTCATTTTACTTCTTAAGTTTCTTCCTCAGGGCCTAATACCAGGTCCCTAAATCAAATATCATCAGCATAGAGAAAGAACTCCTCTTTCTTTCTCTTTATATTTCTCCCCCGTCCCACCCCATCCCACACAAACACTACAATGACACTGTCAATGGCTTCATGACAGACATAACTTTGGTTGAATTTTATTGCTAGAAATTAGTGAAGTGCTTGCCAAATGGTTTATAATACTGGGTCAGAGTCTCCGCACAGAGACCTCTTGCTGTTGCCATGTTCCTGACCGTGTGCTCTCAGACATGTGGCCATGCTCAGAGGCTGCATCTTTGTGCAAATGCTCAGTGCCAGGTGAACAGAAGCTTGAACCTCAAAACTGGGCATTAGTAGCCCCTGCAGGTTGAGAGTTACCCTGGAGCCCGCTGGTGAGACGGCACCTCCTCTTCATTCCATAAACCAAAGACTCCCGTGTTCCTGCAAGTTTTTCAAGGACTTCTTGATAAGACACTAAAATTTCATCTTATGACTAAGCGCCACACATTCAATCGAGGGCAGTGATTCATTGTCTCATTACGTTATCTCATTCAATATTCACTGCAATCCTATGAGGTGACAATATTAACTTCACTGTACTGATGAGGAAATTACAGCATGGAAAAGTTAAGTGATTTGTCCAAGGTGGAAGTGAAAAAATTCCAGAGGAGGCTCATAGCGAGGTCTGACTCTGCAGCCCACACCTAACTTGGGTTTCAAGTCACTTCTGATCCTAAAGGTGCACTTGCTTTGAACTAACTGCACTCTTCACCCGAGACTTCACGAGCCTCCAGAGATCTCAGGCCACACTGAGATCTCTGCTCCATTCAGGTGCAGACCTCACTCTCTGAAGGAAACATGCACAAAATACACTTTGGGGGCAGCATGGAGAGGGGGAAGGATGAGGGGAGAGAAGCGACAAGATTTTGAAGTTTCATTCTGTGAAATCCAGCTTTTTCCTTCAATACAATGGATGGAGCCTAGATCCTGAAACTTGATTGATTCTCAAAAGTTTTAATTAGTTTGTTCTCAGGAATCATAGCCCTAGGTGACTCTCCCAGGACTACAGGGCATTCCTAACACCAGTGCGATTTTGTTTTCCTACCCTCCACTTCCTGATGGCTGGGCTCAACTTCAAAATCATGTATATGCTTCAGTAATTTTTCAGTTGAATTGCAGTTTTATCCAGCTCTTCTGGAGACTGCCATTTCAGCTTCTAGAACACACATTTAGCCCCAGATACCAGGAGAGCCGTAGTGCTGCCCTCAGGAACAACTTGCGAGGGTGCAGGTGAACTCACTGGGTATATAATATATAAATAACCAAACCACCTTTCAGACAACTTTGTCAAGCTTGACTCAAATATACTCTGGAGAATTAAAAATCAGAGAGTTGATACTGTCTGGGGATTCTTCGGTAAGTCTTGTGAACATTTAATGGAACTGTGATTCCATGCAACTAGTGTAGATTTTTCTTAATTCAGCATTCTTGGCAAGTGTCTGAGTGACTCTTATGAGATTTCCAGGACACGCTGATAATTATTTAAATTATCAGTGAATTTTCCCTCTTCATGCTCTTTAAATATGTTTATACTAGAACTATGTTTTCACTCTAGGAAACTAATGTTTTGCAAAAATGCTGTGTGTAAAATGAACTCATTTAAAAATGTGTTATAATAGGGAACTCAGAAATAGACCCACATGAATACAGTCAACTGATCTTGGCAAAAGAGCAAAGGCAATACAATGGAGCAAAGACAGTCTTTTCAATAAATGATGCTGGGAGAACTGGACATCCACATACCACCCCACCCCGCCCCCACCACCACCAAAAAGAAAAGAATCTAGACACAGAACTTACACACTTCACAATAAGTAACTCATAATGGATCACAGACTTAAATGTAAAATGCACAACTATAAAACTCCTAGAAGATAACAAGGGGGAAAACCTAGATGAACTTGGGTTTTGGTGATCACTTTTTAGACACAACACCAAAAGCATGATCCATGAAAGAAATAATCGATAACCTGGACTTAATTAAAATTAAAGATTTCTACTCTGTGAAGGACACTGACAGAGAATGAAAAGATAAGCCACAGGCTGGGAGAAAATATTTGCAAAAGACATAATCTGATGAAAGACTGTTATCCCCAACACACAAAGAACTCTTAAAACTGAGCAATAAGAAAATAAAAAATCTGATTAAAAAGTGGGCCAAACGACTTTAATAGACACCTCACCAAAGAAGATATACAGACGGCAAATAAGCACATGAGAAGATGCCCCACATCGTATGTTAAAGGGAAATGAAAACTAGAACAACGAGACACGTGTGTCACACACAGCTATTAGAATGGCCGAATCCCGGTCACTGACAGCACCAAATGCTGGGGAGGATGTGGAGCAACAGGAACTCTCATTCATTGCTGGTGGGAATGCAAAGTGGTATGGCCACTTTGGAAGAGAGTTTGGCAGTCTCTCACAAAACTAAATATACTCTTATCATATGACTCAGTAATCATGTTCCGTGGTATTTATCTAGAGGAGTTGAAACTCATGTCTACACAAAGATATGCACATGGATGTTTATAGCAGCTTTAGTCATAATTGCCAAAACTTTGAGCAACTAAGAGGCCCTTCAACAGGTGAAAGGATAAAAAAAAACTGCAGTACATTCAGACAATGGAATATTACTCAGCACTAAAAAGAAATGGGCTATCAAGCCATGAAAAGACAGGGAAGAACATTAAATGCTTATTACTAAGTAAAAGAAGCCAATCATAATAGGCTACACACTATATGATTCCAACTATATGTTTTGAAAAACACAATACTATGGAGATATTAATAAAAAACAAAATCAGTGGTTGCCGGGGGTGGGGGAGGGAAGAATATGTGGAACACAGAGGATTTTTAAGACAGTGAAACTACTCTATATGACACTACAATGGCAGATACATGTCATTACACATTTGTCCAAATCCACAGAATGTACAACATGAAGAGTGAAGCCTAATGGAAACTACGGACATTGGGTGATAATGATGTGTCAATGTAGGTTCATCAATTGTGACAAATGTTACCACTCTGGTGGGGGAAGCTGGTAGTGGGGGAGGCTGTGAGCATGTAGGGACAGGGGGTATATAGGAAATCTCTGTGTCTTCTGCACAATTTCACTATGAACCTAAAACTGTTTTTAAAATAGTCTATTTTAAAAATGCATTACAAGGAAAGAAGAAGGGAGAGAACCAGGAATCAATATTTACTAAAAAAAAAAAAATCTGGTAGACAGATCAGAGACAGTGTTGGGAGTTTTTCATATATTATCTCATTTAATCCTCATACCACCACCAAAGAGTGGGCGCTATTATCTCCATTTTACAGATAAGGAAACAGAGGCTCTGCAGAGGCTCAGAGAGAGACTATGTGACTTTCTGCCATCCTCCAGTTTGTAAGTGTCAGTGCTTGAAATCAAATAGAGGTGTGTCTGACTCCAATATACTTACTTAATTCATTATAAAGAACATTTGGATATAGGCACATGCCACAATTTCCTTTAAGTAAACTCGGTGGATAAAATATTCAGATTTGAGTGCCTACATTTCACTGTCCCCCAAACTTAGTCCATTCCTCTATTTCCTAATATTGAGCCAAAAGTTCCCATTTTTGCCTCAACCAATTTGAGTTTGCTTTTGTCACTTGCTTTAAAGAAGCTCATTTCATTCTGCTCTCCATGCATTGACAAACATGAGAAAATCTAAATGATCACATCTTGGGTCACTGAGAGGGACAATGTGAATAAAATAATAATCTCATCTTCTAGAGAAACTGGGATGATATACATTTAAAAATTTTTTCAATACCTGGTTCTGATAATAAGACACACAACTATTCAAAATGGGAAAAGACAGAACTTCTCCACACTGAGCCAGGAGGTAGTTACTCTGCAGTGGCCGATGGCAGTGTCTTCTGAAGGGCTGCAGTGGGGTGAGGGGTCTGGATGCCCTGAATTCGAGACCTTGCTCTAAAATCTTCCCCCTTACATCTGTCTGTTTAACTCATGTCATGTCTTATTTTTTACCCCTTCACTGAATTTGGAAAAAAAAATACATATTCCATATTCCTTCATTCCATTCACGTTTTTCTTTTCTGCTCCAAGGCTGCTACTTCCTTTGCACAATGTAATAACCATTCTGCTGTTTTGGGATTTAGGCACCTTCATTTTACAGATACTAATTTCCACTCTATCTGTGATGATACCAGTAAAGGGGTTACCCTAGGCTCATGCACACTATGGGAAAGTAGAATAGAGTTGATCTATTAGAAAAACTCTACCAATACATACTGTTTCTGTATCTGGAGCTTTATTACCTTAGTAACAATAGCTAACATGACTCAGGTATCATCTCTGTGTCAGGGGCTTTAATTGTGCAAAGTGCTTTGTACCTATTATCCCATTTAAACTTCACTCTATGAAGTAGAAACTATTATTAGTCCCATTTTACAGATGAGAAAACTGAGGTTTAGGAAGCTTAAGTAAATTGTCCTAAGTTAGATATTTTTAAAATGGCAGAGGTAGGATTCTTGCCTGGGCAGTGTTCATTTTGGCATCAAATTTCTTTTTCTTCTTTCTTTTTTTCTTTGGCATCAAATTTCAATGACGTCTGCTTCCCCATTACTCAAGACAGGCTGGCTGTGGTACTGTGGGTAGCAAGTAGCACTGGATTCATTCCAGTGCCAGGAGTGGCCTTTGATGCGCCATCTACCTCCTCACTTATCAAATGAGGCAAATGGACCATGGAATTTCTGCAAAGCATTTATGGAAAGACATCTCACGTGGTCTCCCAGCATATGAACCAAGCCACAGAGAAGATGTTGGGTTGAAGAGATCTTTGTCCTCACCCTCCTGTCTCCTGACCTCCAAGGCCCACCCCTCACCAGCAGGGGCTTCCTTACCACGGGGTACAGAAGAGTACAGTGGGGTCACCACCAGCCTGCACGATCCCCCAAGGAGCCACAGTCCTGATACCTACCAATATAAGCCGCGCCATCCGTCACCATGTACTTGTTGCGGTTTAACTTAGGGAAGGTGTGATTCTTTTGTTCTTTTGTAACACAGGCATTCTCTCTTTCCAGATCAAAAAATTTCTGTAGGGCAATAAATACATCAATGAAGCAGGTGAACAGAGAACATTTTTGGTTTTGTTCAAGCATAAAAGGGTTTCTTATCCAAATACCCACAACAGACCTCATACTGAGTTATTACAACCACAATCTTGTTACTTCATGTCCATGAAGCTATTTTTGTTCTCAAATCTATACAGGTGACAAGGCAGAAAATCAGCATGCTCAACTAGATCCATAATTAATGCTTTTAAGCTATAAAATGAACACAAAATTCATTCTTTCAACAGGGGGAGGGCCAGAAGTTATTTAATTCTCATTGTCTTATTCATCAGGGTGCGCTGGCATCTGAAGTCCGCCTCAGGGTGCTTTCTGTCAAGAATACCAATGAGTTGATTCTCACACGTTGCATATGTTTTAGAAGCAGCAGGGCCACGTCAATGACTAGCTGAATTAATTGGGGATTTGCAAAGGTCAAACAAAGATTTTGCCAAAAGAACAAATACTTTCCATCTAAACACCTAGGTCTCAAGCTCTTTTAATAAGCAACTCAAAAAAAAAAAATCACAACTTCGAACTATGAATCCTGAATTTCAACTTAATGTAATCCAAAAAAGCAACATTTCAGTTCACCTCAGACCTGAGACGGGGAGCTAAGAGGGGCGAGTGACGTCAGATTGTGCCTCAGGAACCTGCTGAAACTGGCAAGGACTCTGATAAAGCTCAAACCATGACTGAGCTCAAAGGAAGACACCCTCAAAGGTGAGGACCTCAAGTTTCCTCCACGTTGGAAAACGCTGAACATTTTCAAAACGGCATGGAGTCTTTCCAGAATGTCTTACAGTTGTAGAATCGTGTGTTTGAAGGAAAGAAGGGACAGAGAGAAAAACGGGATGCTACCCAGAAATGGAGATTTCATTTATAAGTTTTCAGACTAAGTGTTCAAATTTGGTTTGGGGAAATAATGAGAGATGGCTTTCCCCTTTCCCCCAGGCTGAGAAAGGGGTGATAAACTAGGTGATCACTAGGGTGTCTTGCAGTCCTGAAAATTCTATTATGATTTTTTTTCTTTTTGTAGAACTCTTGAGATCAGTGGTGCACAGGACAAATTTACTACCTAAGAACCATCTGCTGCACATCCCAGAGGAATGCTCTCCCAGGGCCGTATCACCGTGATGATAGGCAATGCAGCTTGGGTCACCTGATTTCCTCAGTGCCTGTCTTCTGCAAAATCTGTGTCAGTTTGATGGGTTCACAGAGAGCCCTTGTGGACTATTTAAACGGACTTAATAACCTATAAATGCTGTTAAGTCACAGCTGTAATACTTGTGAGGTCACTTGAGTCCAGATAACAGCCAGCAGTCATCTCGCTTGGACATTCTGTCACAACACCTGTCCACACACTTGGCTATTTCCTTTTGAGGAAGATATTATTGTAGAATCAAGACAAATTTGAAAAAGAATAAATTATACATCCTAATTTAAGTCAGGGCTGGCATCACAGCTTGAGGCTTTTCTGAGAACCCATTTGTTCTAGAAAGTCGAAGATGACCCAAAAGAGGGAAAACAGCTTTATCAGGGAGACGAAGATGATGGCAGAAATGACACTGTGTTCACTGACATACGAGTACATACCTAACGTGCTGGAGGTGAGAGCAAAGCCATTTATCTCAAAAGTGACATCTTAATTCATTTTTAAAAGCTCAGTTAACTAGGACAACTTTGTGAGTTGCAATCTCTTTCCATGAGCTTTCTCATGGACACAAACCCACAAAGCCAGGGCTGAGGGCGCCCACTCTTCTAAGGACAGAGATTACCAGGCCATCCGCTTTTTCAGTGTTCCGGGGCTCCTGAATACATGCTCTATGCAAGATTCCAACTCCGACTCTTCTTGGAAAAGCTCCTTGCTCATCTGTGGTCTCGATGTAGGGACGAAAACTTTCTTCTCACCTAGGCTTATCTTGATGCTTAAAAATACGTGGTCTGGCTTACGTGAAGATCTCTGCTTTATTAAATGTTCAACGGTGAACTATTAAGGTTTGGTTTATTCAAAGAATGTGACCATGAGTGTTTGAAAAGATGAAACTGAGTAAATACCATAAAGGTTAAAATGATGGATTCTACTTCCCTTGTAATTTCTTGTAAGTCTTAAATGAGAATCTCTTAATAGTTCACAACAGAGATTTCAGCTGACAGTGCCTCAGTAGTGGCAGGTGCTTTGTGGGGTCAGGAAACGGTGGGTGGGTGGGGACCGCTGAGTCGCTCTGAGGGGAAGTTGAGAGAGGAGATCGGGGCAAGTGCATCGTGTGCCATAGGCCCCAGGCCCTCTCCTCTCTGCCTCTGCTCGCATTAGTTACGTCTTTCTACTCTCTGCATTTTGATGCTTTGGCATCTTGGGCCTTGCTGAGTATGAAGGGGCTGCCCTCAAGAAAATGAAGGCTAACGGAACACTGACCACCTCTAGACCTAGCTCAGAAATGCCTCCTGTGCAGGCCTCCCATCTCTTTCTTCTTCTGATTGGCCTTGGGGTACTGAGGCTCAAGGCAATCTTGGAAACCATGTGTCAAAGTTGACAATGGAGCCCGTGTCCTCCTGGATCCCTGAATGCTTTGTGGACCACAGCTCCCTCCCCGGGAAGAGGGCCTGGCACAGAGCAGAGTAGGGTCTAAGTGCATCTTTGCTGAGTGACTGCAGAAGAGGTTGGGAAAGGCTGAGACCTAAAGGATGAGTGGGCAGTAGTCAGGTAAGGTATGGAAACGAAGAGTGTGTAGGAGAGGGAACAGCGTGTACAAGGGCCCTGATGGGAGGAAGAGAACGTTACCCGTAAGGACCAGAGGAGAGTCAAAGACAAGCTAGAGAGTTTGCACATCTAGAGTTGCGCAAATTCCCAATCTTGCCCCCCTCAAACTAAGCAGAGATGGATTAGCATGTGGCCCAAGGGACCTGGAGCAGTGCAGGCACCCAGGCTGAGGCGACCTGAGGTCTCGGGGAGTCTGCGGTGGTGCATGATCCAATGCTCCGTTGGCCACAGTCTTGCAAATAAGAATAGTAAGTGAGGGAGGCAGTTCAACAAGATGGAGAGGATGCAACAGAAAGTGTGTGTTAAGGGGGCTAGGCTGGTGGGGGCACCAGAAAACTTGGGGTCTAGTCTCCTGTTTCTTTGCCTATGATTGTTTTGAAAAATTACTTAATCTACCTTTTGTGGTACTTTTCACTATCAGCGATTATTGCCCTGGTTCTGATCGGAAGTTCATGTGTGTGTGCTTACAGCTTTCACAGACGTGTGAAGGAAATAAACCTTTAATTTAATAACTTAACAGAATACTTACAACTTTCAAACTGCAGTTGGCTATTTCAGTGCAAATAGCTTTCAGAGATGAAATAAAGTTAAAAGTGAGGGGGTCCGTTTCCTTCCAGAAGCTTATAAGGAGTCGGACTTTAACACTTCTCAACACTAGCGCTTCTCTTATTTTCCCATCCAAGTCTGGCCAGTAAGTCCTGTAGAGATGATATCCATATAGAGAAAAAGAAAGAAAATAAGTTAGTTTGGGGAAAAAATTTTACTAGATTACGGAGCACACTGATGTTAACTTGACCAATGCTTTATTCTGTAATGTAAATAACCTTGTAGGACACGTTGAAAAACTGCCAGCCTTCTGGGTTAGGACATTGAGAAATGATGCTTTCTTTAGTGGGGTCTCCCACCTAAATGAGGTCTCCCACCACCAGGGCCTCAGGCTCTGTGGACAGACTGACTGCCACCACATGCCCACCCCCACCACACTTCCAACTCTACCTGGGCTTCAGTTCATCTGTGCAGGAAGAATCAACTTTCCAACAGAATTCTAGTTTGGATCCTTGGACCCCTCACTCCCCAAATGCTTCACAAACCTCTCTCCTTTGGCAAGGGTCCCTCCGACCCCAAATGAGATTCTGCTCTGGTTATCCAAGCTTTCCCACACTCTTAGTTGCATATCTTGGCTACTGTGAATAACGCTGTGATAAACATGGGAGTGTATATAGCTCATTGAAATCATGTTTTCATTTCCTTTGGGTGGAATTCCCAGAAGTGGAATTGCTGGGTCATATGGTAGATCTATTTTTAATTTTGTTGAGGAACCTCCATATTGTTTTCCATTGTGGTTGGACCAATTTAGGTTCCCACCAACAGTGTATAAATGTTCCCTTTCCACCAAATTCTTGCCAGTATCTGTTATCTCTCGTCCTTTGATGACAGCTATTCTAACAGTGGTAAGTGGTATTCATTGTGGTTTTGATTTGCATTTCCCTAATGCTTAGTGATGATGAGCATCTTTTCATGTATCTCTTGGCCACTTTGATGTCCTCTTTGGAGAAATGTCTATTTAGTTACTTTTTTTTTTTTTTTTGCTAAAATAAGTCAAATTGTTTTTTGTTTTGTTTTGTTACTGTTGTTGAGTTGATTGAGTTCTTTACATACTTTGGATATGAAATCCCTTATCTGATATATGGTTTAAATTTTTTTCTCCCATTCTTTGCATTTTGTTAATTTTTTTTTTTTTGTCGTGGAGAAGTTTTGAGTTTGATGTAATCCTCTTTGTTAATTTTTTGTCTTTCAATATTTGTACTTTTAACATCATGCCCCCAAATAATTGCCAAGACCATTATCAATGAGCTTCTTCCCTGTGTTTTCTTCTAGGATTTTTATGGTATCAGGTCTTACGTTTAAGTCTTTGTGGGTGGTATGAGACAGAGTCCAATTTCATTGTTTGGCATGTGTTTCTCCAGTTTTCCCAGCACTATTTGTTGAAGACATTCTCCTTTCTCCATTGGGTGCTCTTGGCTCCCTTGTTGACTATTAGTTGGCTGTATATGCTGGGATTTAACTCTGGGCTCTCCATTCTGTTCCATTGGCTGATGTGTCTATTTTTGTGCCAGTGCTCTTTTTGTGTTTTTATTACTATAGCTTTGTGGTATAGTTTGAAATCTGGAAGTGTGATACCTACAGCATTGTTCTTTTCTCTTAGGATTGCTTTGGATGTTCAGGGTCTTTTATGGATCCACACAAATGTTAGGAATGTTTCTTCTGTTTCAGTGAGGAATGCCGTTGCTATTTTGATGGGGATTGACTTAAATCTATAGATTGCTTCGGGTAGTTTGGCGATTTTAACAATATTAATTCTTCCAATCTATGAATGTGGATATCTTTTTGTGTCTCCTTCGATATCTTTCAGCAAAGTTTTGTAGTTTTCATTGTACAGATTTTTCACTTATTTGATTAAATTTATTCCTAAAGTATCTTGTTGTTTTGATGCTGTTGTGACTGCAATGGATTTCTTTACTTGTTTTTAAGATGCTGCATCATTAGTGTAAAGAAATGCACTTGATTTCCATATGTTAATTTAGTATTCTGACATTTTAGTGAAAATATTAATTCAAACATTTTTTGACTGAGTCTTTGGGATTTTCTCTATTTAAGATTATATTATCAGCAAATAACGGCAATTTTAATTCTCCCTTTCTGATTTGGATGCTTTTTATTTCTTTGTCTTGCCTAATTGCTCTAGCTAGGACTTCTGGGACTCTATTGAATAGGAGTGATGAGAGCAGGCATCATTGCCTTATTCCTGATCACAGAGGAAACACTTTCAATTTCTCTCCATTGAGTATAATGTTAGCTTTGGGTTTTTTGTATATGACCTTTATTTTGTTGAGATATGTTCCTTCTATATCCAGTCTAAGAGTTTTTATCATGAAAGTATGTTGTATTTTGTCAAATGCTTTTTCTGCATTTATTGAGATGGTCATGTGATTTTTATCTTTCATTTTATTGATATGTATTACATTTATTGATTTGTGTATATTGAACTATCCTTGAATCCCAGGAATAAATCCTTTTGATGTGTTCTTGAATTTGGCTTGCTAATATTTACTCGAACATTTTTGCACTTACATTCATTGGGGATAATAATCTATAGTTTTCTTTTTTTGTGGTATCATCTGGTTTTGGTACCAAAGTAATACTGGCCTTGTAGAATGAGTTTGGGAGTGTTCTCTCTTCTTGAACATTTTGAAAGAGTTTGGAGAGAATTGGTGTTGTTAGAAGAATTCCCCAGTGAAGCTGTCTGGCTCTGGAATTTTCTGTGCTGGGATATTTTGATTACCGATTCTATCTCTAGCCTCAATATTGGTCTGTTCAGATTTTCCATTTCTTCCTGATTCAGAGTTGGTAGGTTGTGTGTTTCTAGAACTGTATCCATTTCTTCTGGGTTATGTGATTCATTGGCACATAATTGTTCACAGTAGCCTCTTATGATTCTATGTATTTTTGTAATTTCAGTTGTAATATCTCATCTTTCATTTCAAATTTTGAGTCTTCTCTTTTTTTTCCCTTAGTGTAGCTAAAAGTTTTCTTAGTTTAGCTAAAGACTATCAGTTTTTTTTTTTAATCTTTTTGAACAACCAGCTCTTAGTTACATTGATCTTTTCTATTCTTTTTCTGGTCTCTATTTTATTTATTTCTGTTCTGATCTTTATCATTTCCTTCTTTCTGATAACTTTGGGCTTAAGTTGTTCCTCTTTTTCTAGTTCCTTGAGGTGTAAAGTTACGATGTTTATTTGAGATCTTCCTAATTTCTAGTATATATATTATATTGGGCATAGACTTTCCTCTCAGAATTGCATCCTACATGTATATTGCATCCCAAAGATTTGACATGTGTTTTCTTTTCTTTTTTTATGGAGGATTCTTTTTTTGATGTTGAGTTGTATGAACTGATTTAGAATATTAGTTTCAGGTGTTCAACATAGTGATGTAATATTTTTATAGATTATACCCCCCTAATACTTACTATCAGATGCTCCATATGGCATGCAATACACCCTCATAGCCTATTTTATACACAGTAGTTTACACCTCTTCATTCCCTATCCCTATCTTGCCCCTCCTCTATTCCCACTCCTCTCTGGTAACCACTAGTTTGTTCTCTGTATCTAGGAGTCTGTTTCTGTTTTGTTATCGTCACTCATTTGTTTTATTTTTTTATATTCCACACATAAGTGGTACCATACAGTATTTGGTTTCCTTTGTCTGATATATTTTACTAAGCATAATACCCTCTAGGTCCACCCGTGTTGTTGCAAATGGCAAAATTCCATGCACTTTTATGGCTAAGTACTGTTCCATTGTATATATATATATACCACATCTTCTTTATCCAGTCGTCTGTTGATGGACACTTAGGTTGCCTCCATATCTTGGCTATTGTAAATAGTGCTGCTCTGAATATCGAAGTGCATGTATCTTTTTGAATTAGTGTTTTCATTTTCTTCAGACATATACCTAGTGGTGGAATTGCTGGATCATATGGTAGTTCTATTTCTAGCTTTTTGAGGAATCTCCATCCTGTTTTCCACAGTGGCTGCACCAATTTACACTCCCACCAACACTGTACAAGGGTTCCCTTTATTCCACATCCTCACCAACATTTATTATTTGTGGTCTTTTTGATGACAGCCATTCTGACAGATGTGAAATGATATCTCATTGTGGTTTTGATTTGCATTTCTCTGATAATTTGTGATGTTGAGCATCTTTTCATGGCCTATTGGCCATCTGTATGTCTTCATTGGAAAACTGTCTATTCAGATCTTCTGCCCATTTTTTAATCAGGATTTTTTGATACTGAATTGTATGAATTGTTTATATATTTTGGATATGACTGGTAGGACATGTCATTTACAAATATAATAATTTTCATGTTTCTCATTGTGGCCCTTTCTTTTTCTCTTAGAGAAGTCTCTTTAACATTTTTTTGTAAAGCTGCTGCTCTTTTAGCTTTTGCTTGTCTGTAAAACTTTTGATCTCTCCATCAAATCTGAATGAGAGCTTTGCCAGGTTTTCCCCTTTCATTATTTTATATCGTATCTCTCCTTTCTGACATGCAGAGTTTTTGCTGAAAAGGCAGCTGTTAGCCTTTTGGGAGTTCCTTTGTATGTAATATGATGCTTTTCCCTTGTTGAATTTAATATTCTCTCTTATCTTTAATTTTTGCCATTTAATTACAATATGTCTGGTGTGGTCCTCTTTGAGTTGATCCTGTGTGGGATTCTCTGTAATTCCTAGACTTGGATGTCTGTTTCCTTTCCCAAGTTAGGGAAGTTTTCAGCTATTATGTCTTCAAATATGTTCTCTGCCCCTTTCTCTCTCCCTTCTCTTTCTGGGATGCTTATAATACGAATGTTAGTAGTCTTGATATTGTCCTAGAGATCCTCATTTTTTTTTTTTTTTCTGTTTAGAGTCCATGATTTTCACTACTCTGTCAGCTGCCTGATCCATTCCTTTGTATCATTTAGTCTACTATTGATTCCTTCTGGTGTATTTTTCATTTTGGTTATTGTATTCATCTCTGTTTGGTTGTTCTTTACATTTTCTAACTCTTTGTTAAAAATTTCTAACTTCTCACTTTTTTTATTCATTCTTCTCCTGAGTTCTTTGATCATCTTTGTGATCATTACCT